GGGGGTCATTTGTTTAATACTGAGAAATATTTCACTCTGATCTGTATTTTAAATAATAATGTTAATAATTAAAATATTAGATAATATAAATATACATTTGACCACACCATATAATGATTCCAACCATTGTTTATGCATAATTGCACCAGTCTATTCGAGGAAAAAAGCCTGAAAGTGGCAGATATAGATCACCAGTAGACATTGTGCACTTTGTTTTCTTATAAAATAGGTGTTTGTATCTATATTTAGCCTGAAAATCAAATCAAATTAGACGCAAAGTTTGTAGTTTAACCCACAGTAACATCTGAAAAAACTAATCCGAGAATACTGTTGGTCAGAACACATTAAATATCCCTCAAAACGCTGAAAACTTAAATGCGTTTTATTAACAAACTAGATGTAATAAAAAAACGCATAAATGACTTAAGCATGCCTTACACAAACTAACCGAAACTGCTGACCCCCCTGATCATCAATGTATAATTCACACACTGATAATATGCCTTACTGAGAAGACAGCGATTGCCGTTGTAACCGGGTTGACAGCTGCATCTCCCAGTGATGTGGTGACACCTGTACTGATCTCCAGAGCACGAGCACACGCGAGAACAGTTCAGGCCGAACCTGCCCTGTGGACACACTGAGAGAGACATAACATCAGAGAATGACACAAAACACGAAGAGATGATTTTAGGAGCATGTGTGAGTTTTCCATAGCTGTCTAGACGCATTCCTGGCATCAGGCCTCAGACAGGAAGGAGATATGATATGATATGAAGGGGAGGCTAGACATTTCTTGTAACGTCATTCAAACATGCTTACTTTCATACACGTTCACATATGTCTGGAGTTTCTGACAGAATACAGGCTTTAACTGTGTTTGCGTGCCCATTAGGTAAAATAATGGCACCCACATTATTTAACAAACACATGCTGAGACATTTTAATGGACCTGCAGACAATTGTTTTGGTAACACTTCATTTTAAGTCACAATTCATACAATTAACAGACCATTAACTAAGAATATTAGCTTAATAAACTGTAAAATGGTTGCTTATTAATAGTTAGTAAGGTAATTGGATTTAGGCAGGTTATAACATATCTTAATAATAAGCAGGTAATAAGTATTTTTTTTTTTTTTTTTTTTTTAGTTTTTGGTACATATTATTTTTTGACACCAATTTTGCAATTATTTCTTAGTTTTTATTAACTAACTGGTTTTACTAACTGGTGATCTGGGACCTTTAGCCAGGTCAGATTACTGTGCATATTTTAGATAAATGACAATAATTCTTTTTTAAATGTAATTATTATTTTTTTAAGATCAGTTGTGGAATTAAAAAGTGCAAGTATAAAGATATATTTAGCTTGTTTTGACACATTTAAAACTTGTGGCTAAGAAATAATTATTTATTTATTTATTTATTGGTGTGGTTAGAAAAAAAATTGGTAAACCCTTTTGAGCTCTGAAAAGTCATGTAAAATGCAATGCGACACAACCCATTTGCTGATGTACATTGAGCAAGCTCATACACAACACAGAGAAAAAGTTAAATTAATAAGGAGGCATAAGAACAACCCATTCATTCATTCATTTTCTTGGCAGCTTAGTCCCTTTATTAATCCAGGGTCGCCACAGCAGAATGAACCGCCAACTTATCCAGCAAGTTTTTACGCAGCGGATGCCCTTCCAGCCGCAACCCATCTCTGTGAAACATCGACACAGACATTCACATACACTACGGACAATTTAGCCTACCCGATTCACCTGTACCACATGTCTTTGGACTGTGGGAGAAACCGGAGCACCCGGAGGAAACCCACGCGAAGGCAGGGAGAACATGCAAACTCCTCACAGAAACGCCGACTGAGCCGAGGTTCGAACCAGCGACCTTCTTGCTGTGAGGTTGACAGCACTACCTACTGCGCCACTGCCTCGCCCGAGAACAACACAACATCGAAATAAAGTAATTTTAGCATGTCAAAGTCAGATTTTTCATGCATATAAAATATATTTTCACAGCAACAAAAGTGTGGCTATTGAAAAGGCGAGTGGCTAGTAATGTTGGAAATCCACTAGCCACCATGGCTGGTGATCAGAAAAGTTAATGTCAAGCGCTGGTAGTAGTAGTCAACGCATTCATAGTAATAGTAGTAGTCATTGTTGTAGTAGTCGTAGTCATAGTCGTAGAAGTCATCATCGTAGTTGTCATAGTATTATTATTATCATTATATGACTACAGCAGTGGTAGTAAATGGTAAGATAGTATTATTTATATTATTCCAAATAAAAAACGTACCTATATCAACATATGTTATCATTTAGTTTAGTTTAGATGGTAGTTATCAACACTGTTACAGACCTCAGACCGTCAGGTCATCCTTATTGTTAAGTCTATGTTTAAGTAAAAGTGTGTCTGTGTGTTTGTGTGTGTTCAGCCTAGCGACATGTGTAAGAGATAAGCTCAGACTCCAGACTAAAGAGAATAATTAGACTGTTGTCATTAGCTGTGTCTGCTGCAGTGTGTGTGTGTGTGTGTGTGTGTGTGTGTGTGTGTGTGTGTGTGTGTGTGTGTGTGTGTGTGTGTGTGTGTGCGCACGTGCGTGCGTGTGTGTGTGTGTGAACGTGCGTGCGTGTGTGTGTGTGTGTGTGTGTGTGTGTGTTCATGTCTGCTCCAGACTTCTTATCCTTACACAGACAAAAACAAAGCCTGCTGTTTGAGTTGGCTGCTCAGCGCTAACCTTTATCAGATGTCTCACATCCACAGAGAGAGAAAGAGAGCGCTGGGCGAGTGTTGAAAGAGTCGCGAAGAAAAACCCCAGTGTGTGTAATGTGAAAATGATAGAGAGACACAGGGAGTGTGAATTACAACAGAGAGAAGTGTGTTTAGGGTTGGTAATTCAAATAGCAACTGAAACGTTACTTAAAAATGAACATATTTATAATTAAAAATGGACATTAGGATTTTTGTTAGGCCCATTGAATGAGCTGGACAGTCGAATAGATCTATGAACAATGTTATTTTAATGTATTTAACAATATAATTCATTCACTGATTCATTCATTTTCCTTCTACTTAGTCCCTTATTTATCAGGGGTCGCCACGGCAGAATGAACCGCCAACTATTTCAGCATATGTTTCATTCAGTAGATGCGATTCCGCCCACAACCCAGTACTGGGAAATAACAATATCTAATAAAATAATAATAAAACTTGTGCACACTTATTCTACACACATACAGGCTCAACAATAAACATCCGTGCATGTACACATACATACACA